CTTCGCAGCATGAACTGAATTGCGTATTCACAGATATAAAATAAAAATTACTATGTACATGTATTCATCTTATTAAAAAATACGTAGTTCGTCGTAAGGGGGAACTTGTACATTATTTGTGGTTGTTGACTATTCTGGCCGAAGCAATAAAAAAACTGTTTTTAACTCTATTTGTCTTGCAAAGTGGCAAAGCAAAGGTACGCTCGTGCCTTAACCTATGAGAGCTTACATAGCGGGGTGGTAAAAGTTTGCTTAATTTGTGCTGAGGATCGTTCATTATGCTGCGAAATTTGCTGTACACACATTTTCATGGTGGTCTTTTACAGTTGGAAGATTCATAATAGCTAAGGCCTGTTCGTATTGCATACCAGGACAAATGATTCTCATGGATCTATCCTGAATACGTTCTAGTTCTTGGTGGAGGTATTCAGGGAGAGAGTAATGAAAAACTTGTGTTGCATAATCGAATACGGATCGTACACATGCCGTATAAAAGAGGCAAAGGTCTTTTGGTGGAACGTGAGCTCTTTTTAGCTGAACAAGGAAATAGGTTCTTTTTGCTGCTTTCTTGGTAATCTCAGTTATGTCAGCGTTCCATTTCAATTCTTCGGAGATGATAACACCCAAGAGTTTGGCTTGTTTAACCAATTTCATGTGTTTACCATCTATTGAAGCAGTCCAGTAATTATGATGGTCTTGCTTGCAGAATGTAACGAGGACTACAAGGAGCTAAAAGGACCCCCAGCCGTGACATCTGGTGTCCAGGCCGGACCACCTACTCTTCCAATTAGTCAAATGCAGTCACTGTTATCATCAACCCTTCAACGTAAACGGTTGGCGCCACCACCACCAACTGCTTCATTACACGCACAGTCACGGCTGCCCATGACATCTGACGCACAGCAAGGACCACCCACAACACCACTTCGAATGCGGTCACTGCCATCATCAACCTCTCAAGGCGAACGGGCACCAACAACGCCGTCACCAGCAGTTCCATTACGTGTACAGTCAAAACCATCAAGATCTCAAGCCCTTAAACGGCTTGCACCATCACCGCCAAATCTATCACAGATGGAGCAGTTACCACCAGCAACACCACCACATAAGCAGTCTACTGCATCACCTCCCCAAGCTCCACCGCCACCAGCGCTCCCCTTGCATGCGCCAGTAATGCCACAGCTAAGACCAAAGCAGCTGAGCCAACTGCATTCCAACAAAGGCTTCCTAGATGGCAACGATGCTGTAACTAACAAAATAAGCAAACGTGATGATGCAGCCTTGAAAGATTCCAAAAACATGAATGTAGACCTAACGGACTTAGAAGAAAAAGTAAGAAAGCTCAAAGAAGAGTTTAGTTCATTGCCCAAAGTTCTGATTAAGAAAACTCTTTGTGGCGACGATATCGATGGAGATCTTTTGAAAGCCAGACAACGGCTGCAGGACTTTAATAAGCTGAAAGATCAAGGCGATCGCTTTATTAGTTCAGCAGCAGGCGAGATTACCATCGGAAAATTAAACCGAGACATGACAATTTCCCCACCGTTGGCTGGATGGTCAAGCTCTCGTCCCGGGGAACAAAGTATGAAAGCAGGGAGAAAAGGAGGAGGTATGGCGATTTCTTTCACGTGAGGTGATGAATTTGTGTATGAATATGGTAAATATGTTTTCTTCTTACGAAGGTTCAGTTTTTGATTACATGTGTTTGATTCTAAAGGAAACCTTTTGCCAGAAAACTGGACACCAATGCCACTTGATGATAGAGGAAATGACGTCAGTGTTCATTTGGTAGAACTTGATACCTCTTCGTCCGAGTACCAGGAAGTCGAGGATCGAGTTCTAGAGACAGCTAATCATCCAATTGAAATTGTGAGCATAGAACGGGTACAAAATCCTTTTCTTTATCAGAGTTATCAGTTAGCAAAGCAGAAGGTGGAAAGAAACAACGGAGAAAGCAACGAGCGACAGTTGTTCCATGGTACCAGTCCAGTTAACATAAAGAAAATCAATGCTCAAGGATTCGACAGGAGCTTATCGGGATCTGCACACGGTGAGAATTTTAAGATAGCGTTGTTGCATTAAGTTCATTTACCACCCTTGGAAACGTTTTAGGCCCCACGCAGTCAAGGCACCGTCCTTTAGGGTGAGGGACAACTTCCTAACAGCAATCTCAGATGGAGATGGGCGAACTGATTTAGCTTAGTAAAGAGAAGTGAAACTAATAAGTTCCGATCAAAGTCAGTATCTGAGCAACTGTGCAACTGTCAATACCCCAAAGGCAAACTTTTGGGGCGGGGGAAGGGGGCCGCTGATCCCTGACGTACCCAAAAATCTCTGAAATCCTACCAGAAATCAGTACGTGTGTCCGTAATTGATTGCTGACAATGCATAGATATACAAGCTTACAGGAAAGAGAAATTCCTACAACATAGCCCACCAACTGTGATCATAATGAACTCAGATTTATGATAAAATCACAAACAGCAGTCCCCCCTTATACCTTCGCCTTTGTATAGGCATTGACCCGTCCCCCCCCTCCTCTTCATTAGGTTAAATCAGAAATTGGAAACCACTTCCTAAGGCTTATTTAACACGGATGCATTTAGATCTTGCAAACTATACTAAGGGACTATGCGAGGCATTGAAAAGATGCTGTCTTTTGGAAGTGACACAAACTAGCGTCGACAAATTAATGACATCAATTTCTAATTGCTTTCATTTGTAGGAGCTGTGTATGGTACCGGAGTCTATTTTGCCAGAGATGCCTCCTATTCAATAGGCTATGCATCTCAACCCAGTGTTGGCACCCACCGAGTTATGTACCTTGCACGGGTCGTGGTGGGTCAATATTGCAAAGGCGAAAGGAGAATGAAAAAACCTCCCCCTGTGAATCTTGAGCATCCTGAGATTCTGTTTGATTCCATGGTCGATAAACTAGGTGACCCCTCAATTTTTGTTGTATATTTTGACTACCACAGTTACCCAGAATATCTAATCAGTTTTGATCTGTAGAAAGTGAGGTTAAGTCAGCACACGAGCCAGGTGCTCCATCCAGCCGGAGATCATACCAGTCTCCATGGAATGAAGTGGCTATCCATCTATTGCAAGGCTACCTCAGCATTTCATCAGGCTTCCCTGAAACCTCCCCGTACCCATTTATAATCCAGGGTGGAGAAAGGCACTGTGAAGATACAGCGTTTTCTCCAAGAACACATCACAATCACCCGGCCAGGTCTCGAACCCAGACCTCTCGCCTCGGAGTCCAGTGTACTAACTATAAGCCACCCGTCTTCTAGAAAGTAAAGTTGGTAACCTGAAAAAGGATGTAGGAAACAAAACTGTGCGTGGTTTCACTGCAGAAAATGTAATAATCCCTACAATATTTGAATAGGAAGGCTATTGCATAAGCAATATCATGTTACGTTAAGCTTATCTAGGTTACAAAAACCTGAGCGTATCGATATCGCGCAGAATAGACAAAGGGCAGCATAGGCTAAATCGAAGGATTTTGGTTTGAGTTTCATGTTCCGTGGAAATTTATGCTCGATCGAAACAACAGAATATTACTGATTGTTTTACCCAAATTCTTTACTTTATATTCTAACATTAAAACTGTGAATGTTATGAAAGATGTGTATGTTTGTCTTAGTTATGAGGATAAATGGACGTTTAATCGTCTGTTGCACAATATCACAATCAGTTGTAGATCGGGACGTTTCAATTGCATTACACCCATTCTTGTCGAAGCGATGAGGTTAGCCGCTGCCACCCGGGACGTTTCACTCGCTTACCTTGAGTTTTATCTGGTTCTACAAATATATTTTCTGTTTGTCTTCGAACAATTGAATATCAACTGTTGAAACAAGAATAGTTAATAACTCCTTTCCGCGGTTTAAAGAGAAAATAAAAACCACATTCCCTGTCGCCCACTAGTGGTGCCTGCAATATATGATTCAGCGTTTTCTCACTCAAGGGCGACAAAGGAGGAAACGGGAGGGAGGGGAGACCCAAGCTTCAATCAGTTTTCACGAAAATCATTTACTCTTCTTATCGGGCGTCAAAAAGCGGGACAAAAAAAAGTGAAATCCAAATTTCCTATCCTTTTTTTTTTTGTTTTTCAATTCTTCCATTTTATTTCATCTTTAGGACATCACGACCCCTCCCGTCCCTTCTCATTCTCGAAATGCAAATCCTACTTCCGCTTGTTTTCGGAAATCGAAAACCGGAAAACATCGGAAGCTAATTCTTTCGCAGTTTTAAGTCGAGGAAACGGAATTCCCTTGCTGTGATTAATTAACTGGAGGCTCTAGTGTTGTGTATCCTTGAACCTCTGAATAACAAAGCCAAGTTTCAAAGGTAAGCTCTTACTTCCGGCTTTGCTTCCTTCCAACAAAGATCTGTCTGCATAATAAGTAGACGAGGTACGGCATTATACTTAAACATTGCCAAAAGACTGATCAGAAGTGTGGAAATCGGAACTATGCCACAACCGTTGGAGTTGAGCGCTCTCGCCAAGAGGAGCGCTTAATTTTGCTGAAGAAAATAAAATTTGCTGAGAAACTTCAAGAAAAGAATAAGGAGTTGGAGATCAAGTTCGATACTGAAGCTGAAGAAATATATTTCGAAGGTCCCCAGCCACAGTTTACTGAAGCAACCATGAAGTTCTACAAACAAATGGCTGACATGGTTGAAAAGAAAGTTACTTTATCCGTCAGCATCCTGGAGATTTTAAACACAGATGAAGGACTTCAGACAGTAAAACGTGAGTTGGAAAGAAACAACGTGGAAGCAGTGTTCGTTATTGAGAAAGACGCCACCATAGTGGGATCATCAGCAGCCCATGCAGACAACGCAGCGAGGCTCGTGAACAAATTAATGCTGGAAGAGAAAGTTCAAGTGGACGAGAAAAGCAAACATTTGTTGAAGTCAGCTGAGTGGCTGAAATTGTGTGATGAAATGAACCAAACGGCTGTACGTGTCCATAGGAATAACTGGAGCGATACATACGTGGCCGGGTTCAAAGATGACGTCACCGAAGTGATTAAGAAGTTTAATACCTTCCTTGAAAACAATTGTATTAGGGAGGAAAGTTTTGTGTGCGCGTCTGATATTGAGCGGAGGTATCTTCTTGAACTCCGTCAAGACGATCTACGCGCCATACAAGATCAACTGAAAGATTTTGTAGTGAATATCAAAAAAGGAAAAGACGATGATGATTTTGTCATTTCTGGAAACAGAGAGGGTTTGAAACGTGTAAAAAAGGAGATAGGCGCTCTGATAAATGCCACTGAGTCGAAAACCTTTGAGGTGAAACAGCCAGGCCTTCGAAAATACTTTGATAGTGGAAAAGGAGATCGGCTGGTGAAATCGGTGGAAAAAGACCAAGATTGTGCCATAAAAGTCCAGGAAAATTTAGGTCGAGGAAGAAGGGACGAGGAGTTGCGCCTCGAATCCGTATCCGACGGTTCTACTTCTTCAGTTGACAGTGAAGATGATGCTGAGGATGACCAAGCTACCGCTTTTGGAACTGACGCGTCTACCTTGGTAATTGCCCAAAGGCACAAAGTGTCGTGGAAACCTGGAAACATAGAGGCAGAGAAGGTAAGATTGTCACTGTTTTCTTCACACAAGGAAAATATCACATGAAAATACGTTAGAAGATCTGGTTGACATAGTTATGGATTTTGGTTGTTCAATTAGCTCTTATGTACTCATAGAGTGTGGTTACATGATTGATTAACGTCTCTTTTGTTGAGAGTGCTAAGTCTGATAACGACAACAGTCCACCATATTGAAGAAGTAAGAAAATTATTAACATATTTTTTTCTGTATTGCAGGCGGACGTACTAGTCAGTTCTCAAGGAGCATGCGATCAAGCAATCATTAAAGCCGGTGGTCCTCAGGCCGCGACTCCCAACGTTGGTGACATTACTGTCTCAGGTGGTTTTTCCTCGGTCAGTCACGTGATTCACACTAACTGCTGTAAGTGGAACAACGGCGGAGGGGAACCGGTAAGAAACAATGAAGTGTCATTCCTAAATGTTACCAAATACGTGATAAGTATGAGTTCACTTTCGAGTGAAAGGACCTCTTTAGAATGAATTGAAGAGTACTTTTTTTTTTTTAACTTGATGAAAGCCCAAATGGCGAAGCCCATCCATTCTCTTGTAGGATAAAGCAAGTAATGACCATTCAGGCTTGATTTAATGTTCTTTCCGATGTAGCTTATCCTCAAACATTTTGTTCGGTTTATAAAGCCGAAGCAATCTAACGTGGAAAGCCTCACTCCTCACCGAGTTCTTCGAGAATAATCAATCAAATGTATAACGACAGGATTTTTGCATAATTACAGTAACTTTTAATTCCTAATATCATAAATATGTGAAAATTGGTTAGAAATTTTGTAGAATTAGTAGGAGCATAACTCTCGCAGGAAAAAATCAAATTTAAAAAAAGAATAAGTTATAGGCCCTGTTCCAAAGGTTATTGCCGTGAGGTTTAATCCAAACGTTCTTGATCGTGATCCTAAAAGGAAATACTACGAGTGTGAATATCCTACATGGCACTCTCTCATTATTCTCTGGAATTTTACTAAAATTCAATGCTGATCTAACTTTGATTTAAGGATAACAGAGTCCAGGCCTGGGTTGTTCAAAGGTTGGATAACGCTATCGACTGGAAAAGCTTTTATCCAGGGGATGGCACAGCACGTTTTGCTATCGATTGTCCGCTGGATAGTGATTTATCCGTTGGATAGTGTTATCTTTCCTTTATACAACTGAGCCCTGGAGTCTCAAAGTAGCTCGAGAGGGATTGAATTTTTTAACCTTTTCATTCTCAAGAGTGACCATTGAGTGTTTTTTCCTTTTATCATTAATGCATCATCAGCCAGAAAGGTGATGAGAAGAGAGGACAAAATATCAACTAGGTGGAATATCGTAGAACTTAACGCCAAATTCTGAAGGCCGAATTTATGAGAAGTGTACAGAGGACAGTGTCGAGAGTTGCTATTGAGATCGTGTGGGAGTGACAGGCTTTACTAGATCCCCTCTTGCCTCCACATTATTTATTCAACAACTTCTATTTCATCTTTTGTAGACGCTACGGGCCATCGTTCAAAAGTGCCTGCAAACAGGCGAAACGCTTGGAGCGAATTCCATTGCATTTCCCGTCATTGGAACTGGAAACTTACACTTCCCACGCGATACAGCCTCGAGAATCATGTTAGATGAAACTGTAAATTTCTGCCGAACTAACCCCGCTTCTAATTTACGGGACATCCGATTTGTCGTGTTTAACCAAGATCAAACATTAACTGCTGCCTTCAAACAAGAGATGGACAAATTGCAACCCCAGCTAACTGGCCACTCCGCCATCGCAAGCGTAGCAAAAGGAATACGTTCCTTCTTTTGAAGAAAGAAAACAGAGGGGACATCGGGTGTTGGTATTGAAGTTTTGCAGGGTGACTTGTGCCAGGAGACTTCCGACGCCATTGTGAATATAACAAGTAAAGATTTGAATATGGACAGGGCAGGAAAGTTGAGTAAGGGAGTGAAACGACGTGGTGGTCAACAGATACAGGATGAGTTGAGTCAGTTCGGACAGCAATCGAGTGGGACTGCATTGATTACCAGCGGTGGAAACCTACCTGCACCAAACATTATTCATTTAATTCCGGACAACAACAATAAAGACCACCTTCAACAATGCGTTGAAAGATGTCTTCAGCTGGCAGAGACGCAAAGTCTCCGATCCATTTCTATTCCCGCAGTTGGCACTGGGGCTTATGGTATGTCTGCAGTGGACTCAGCCAGTTTGATTTTTAAGGCCCTTACAAACTTTAGCGCTAGCTTTCGTACCCTCCGCAAGGTCAGGATTGTAATCTTCGAAGCTCCAATGTTGATGGCATTTCAGCAAGCACATCAGAGGTACCCGTTTTCTTCACACGCAGGTGTAAGTCAGCGCATGCACTTCCACTGCCCCTTCAAAGTTGAGGTAACAAATGGCGATTTGACTCAAGAGAGCAGTACCGAGGCTATCATGAATATTATCAGCACGGACATGAACATGAATAACGCCGGAGACTTGAGCAAAGCCATAGCAAGACAGAGTGGTCCACAAGTACAACAAGAATGCAACCAACTGGGAAAGCAATCTCCTGGAACAGCGGTATTAACTAAGGGAGGTAATTTACAAGTACCTCATATTATTCACATTATTCCAGGCTCTTCAGATAAGAAACATCTTCAGCAGTGTTTGGAGGAGGGACTTCGTGTTGCGGACTCCAATAATTTTCAAGCGATCTCAATTCCATGTGTTGGCACAGGAGGCTACGGCTTGACTGGAGCAGACTCAGCCCAATTGACGTTCAAAGCACTAAATGCATTCAGTGTCCGCTGTAAAAGCATTCAAAAGGTGAGGGTGGTTGTGTTCCAGGTTTCTATGATGCAGGAGTTTCTACAAGAGCAGAAGAAACAACCAGTGCAAGATATTGAAGAAGAAGACAGTGACTCGGAGAATGCGGCAGCTAGGCCAACCAGAAGACTGAGACGTAGGCAGGCACCAGCCCAAGATAATGAACACTTTGTAAAAATATCTGTGATCGGCAAAGACAAGTTGAGCGTGGGAAAAGCCGTGGAATCCTTGAAGAAAGGTTTCTCTGACGCTTGTACAATGGAAAAAGTTGAAAGTGAAGTCGTCAGTCAACTTTCCGATAAACAGAGAGATATCCTGAGAAAAAAGTCGAAAGACCGTGACGTCAAACTTGAAATTGAGGATGACGTAGATCGTATTGTCGTCCGTGGTGAACCAGCCGAAGTGTCTGGAATGGTTGGGGAGATCTGGAAAGAGATCAACGAGAGGACGAAGAAGAAGCAAGAAGAAGAACAAGCGAAGTTGGTTTCAAAGAACGTAGAGTGGAGCTATGAATTACGTGGCACGAAAATGGCGTTTGCGCCGAAAGCAAATGCTAAGATTGAGTTGGCCTACAGCAAAGAAGAGCAC